GTGACTATTTTATTTAAACAAATTATTATTTTTAATGGTAAGAATAAATAATCCACTCTTTGAATTAATTAATTAGCAAAATAATCAAATTTAATTCTTTTTCAAAATCTCATGTTAGTAATAATATTTCAAAATCCAATTTAACAAAATTAATAATAATTTTCGTAATATATTCCCAAACTTCTCATAAATCAGAATATGGCATAACAGACATTTATTGGATAATATTTTCTTATTTAGTTAACTAGCTAAATTGAATCAACATTCATTATTAATAGCTAATATTTTTTAATTTTTGTCCAATAACTCAGATATATTATTCAATAATAGTCATGTTATTTTTTAAAATTATACTCACTGAAATAGGGTACACGCGCAAAGCGCGTACCTTAAAACTAGTGCTATACTAAAAGCACGAATACCCTTAGCGAAATATTGTTCGTCTTTTTTACTCTTTAAAAATAAATTTTACATTAGACAAAATTATCATTTAATTATTCACCTAATATTTAAGATTTTGAAATAAATTAAAAATTTTAGCTATTAAAATTTTCCTTATTTGAATTAAGTCAAAATCCTAATATCTAGGACTTACAACTCATTAAGATATTACGTTTAATAAAGTTTCCTTTTCATCTTGAATTTACTTCTACTAAAATATAGGATTGAGCCAAACGATTCCATAAACAAGAAATAGGAGAAATAATTATATTAATCAAATAATAACAATGTGCTATATATTTTATTTAGAGTGCAACCTTATCATGCCGATAACATGAGCAAAATAATTAATAAAAGTTTACCAAACTGTTTTTTACGTGTTATTTTCCTAGGGTATAATTATTGTTTATANTTAAAATAAAATATTTAAAATTCAACAAGAGCTAATATTAAGAATTTGAAACAACAAAAATAAATTATTTCTTTTTAACATTGAGAATAAATACTTAAGTATTAAAGTTATTAAATTAGCAAAAGAATGCAATTATATTCTTTTCCAAAATTATAAACCTAAAATTATTTTTCAAGTTGGCTTAAATCTTAGGGACCATAAATTTGTTTCCTCGAAAAGATCATTGGTGATGAAAGAAATTAGAAAATAGAGTAAATCAGTTGTAGTATAGTATTAAGAGTTAACTTGGTTAATATGCAAACTTGAACAAATGAGAATGAAATAATAGAAAACAAAATTTATTCAAATTTAGTCATCATTAATCATTTTTTTTATTTTATTAACTAAAACTTCACTGCTAGGTAATATTGTAACCTTTGACGAAAAATAAATTAAGAATACATAAGATTCAATTCTTCAGTTTGTGTTATTTCACAAATTTTTTAGAATCATAATAAAAGTACAGCTAATTCTATTTTTATCTTCTCGGAAAAACTTAACAAAAATATTTTCAGAAAAGCTCTTACATCTTCAAGAGTGATGTGTTCTTCCTGAAACTAACAAGGAAGTATAATAACTTGTAAATTTAAGATGATATAATTACAAAACTACAATAAAAATTAAGTACTGAATATAATAGAATGATGATTGAGGACCCTATGAGACATAGTTTTTTTTTTTATTGAGTTCGCAATATAGGATGAATATTTTTCAATTTCTAGAGCTTAACCTTTATTTTATAACTAAAATATGTTTATATATATATATATATATATATATATATATATATATAGAGAGAGAGAGAGAGAGAGAGAGAGAGAGAGAGAGAGAGAGAGAGATTAAACTTATATTATACACCCATCAATTATTTTTAGATTACGCGATTGGAGGAACGACTATTTAGATTAACTCTTCTTTTAGAAAATGGCTATTTTTTTACTTTTAGACTGAGTCAGAAATTATTAACATTCGATAGCCGAAAAAATATAAAAAATTTGTATATTTTTTGTATATAACATACATAATGTATATATATTTAAAAATATATATTTTTCGACTATTATTTTGAGAGCGGCTATACAATGTCATTTTCTCAACCTAAATTATAGTTCAGGGAGTACAACCTGGAAGTTGAATGTGAAGGCCCGATTTAAAAAGCCCAGGCACTATAATAGTGTCATAAACTACAGAGTAGTAAAAAAGTCCTCCACTAGCCAAATATACAAAACAAAAAATATCTGATTATTATTTTTGAGAGCGGCTATATTATATTGTTTTTCCACGTTTTGTTTTTGTTTGGGTCAATATGAATCGGAACAAAATGAGTCGCATAATAGACACATAACCCTAACTCATTCGACATGACCCAACTTCTCCTTTGTTTTTTGTTTTACTTTTTGACATATTTCTTTCAAATTTGGCACAAATTGGAATAATTCTCAAGTCCAAATTGGTATAACTTCAAATCTAAAAATTAATTTGTCTTCATTTGCTTGGGTTTGAGTTAGATTTTGACTTTTTGGACCTATTTTGAAAGTCTTCTGATAATCGCAACAGTGATCACTCATTAATTATCTGAATATGAAGTAGATCCAGAGAACAATATGGGAGTACTATACAGCTCATGCAATCTTGTGAAATTAATTTTCTAACTATTCATAACATCACTATAGGTATTTTCAGAGAGACAAGAGAAAGAACAAAGAACTAAAATTATTTAAGGCATGGAAATGACAAGTGGTGACTAAAATTATTCGTTGCTTATGTAGTATTTTAGCTTTGTTTACTAATCAAATAACAAGGTAATATCGTAGTGGTGTGATGCATATATGGAATCCCTCACCAGGTAATCCAAGATCTCGGGTTCAAACCATGTAAATAGAGAAATTTTTGGTAAGAAGTGTTTTTTTCTTTAATGTGTCATATGCAGTGTGACTCTGAATTAATTGGACCACTGAGTTTTGAACACAGAATAACTAAACCCGAAAAATGTACTATCGAAATGGAGTAGGGTGGGGATGTGAAGAATGAACATTGGGTGTAACTCAACCCGAAAAGCTAATTCATGAGCCGAGAATGAGTTTTTGGCCAATATTGTCCCTTATCTTTGAGGGTAGGTCTATTTTGCTCCCTCAAATATAGCCCTGAGCATATTTAGTCCCTTAAGTATGCTAAAGTGGAACACATTTAGTCTAACTCACACAATGTGTTCAAAAACTAATGGTGTTACTCAACTCTGATTCATGAAGCAAATCTTCTGCTCTAAAGCAAAACGTTTACTCTCCTTATATACTTTTTTCGTTACCAGATATAAATAGTTTCTGGCACGGTCTAAAAGTGATAATATAATCTGGTTATTCGTTTGCTTCAATAATATGCATAGAAGTGATCCTGGCAACTCTATTTTTTTCAAAATTTAACTTTTCTTTTTATAAAAATCAACCGAAATTTTTAAATGTATATATATACAAAAATATATATAAATTTTATATATTTTTTCGGCTATTATTTTTACAATGGCTATACAGTATCATTTTCTCATTGAAAACTAGCACAGAAGTGGATATTTTCGAGGTCAAAATTTTAGAAGACATTATCTAAAAGTGAGGAATTAAAGTGATAATTTGCGTTATTCAATAAAAGGAGAGTAAACGTTTTGCGTCAAAGCAGAAGATTTGCTTCATGAATCAGAGTTGGGTAACGCCGTTAATTTTTGAACACATTGTGTGAGTGAGACTATAGATGCTCCACTTTAGCATACTTAGGGGACTAAATATACTCAGAGTTATATTTGAGGGACCAAAATAGACCTGCTCTCAAAGATAAGAGACAATATTGATCAAAAACTCAGCTGAGAATTGCTCAAAATTTATAAGGAGACCAATGCCATATCCCGCAACCAATACGGGACAACTTAACACTCGCTCACGCTTATGCCTGCCAGTTAGAGCATGAATAATAAATATGCAGGCTCAACAGTAGATAAACCAATAATTGAGATGAGTCTCGATCTGATATTAAGTGAAAAAAATAAAATTTGAATCTGACTTAACTTTAAAAATTAATTAGTAAGATAAATTACTCGAGACCATACGAGTAGAATAGTGGAGAGTTGTGTTGAGCTCCCATACATCATATTTAAAATCTCGTAGGAATGTCCCTTATTTCTTATCATTTCATGTTTTACGAGAAAACTAGTTACTCCCTCCGGTCCACAATAAGTGACCAAATTGTCTTGGGCACACCCATTAAGAAAATATAAAATTTTAGACAAAAATAGTTAGTGTGACTAAACTACTCTTAATTAAATATTGCAGCATAGTTAATGTGAGGAGTAAAGACTTTTTAAGGATACGTACATAAGGGTAATTTTAAAAAAATAAATTGAATTTTTTCTTGATTATATAAATGAACACTTATTTTGGACCAAAATAAAAAGGCAAATTGATCGCTTATTGTAGACCGGAGAGAGTAATCAAGATTAGGATTGTCAATGTATTGGGTTTCCCAAAAGCCAAGCAAGATTTCATGAATTCAACTATGATAACCAATAACGTACAATTTCTAACCTATCTTTTCCAATAGTTTACTATCATTGGATTTGATCTTTGCCAATAATCTCTTGACATTAATTAACCTTATTGGTAAGTAATGGTAGTAAATAAACATCATTCATACATTGTACCAAATCAAAAGAACATCTTAACACCAAAAAGGTCCAATAAGATGAATACAAAAAAGAGGAAATTTGCAAAGATTTGTTCCTTTCTTTTACCTTATGGGGAAAATCTTTGGTTTTTGTTCCCTCTTTTTCTTCTTTTATAAAGTTGAACACTGCTCAATAACAGTATTCGGATAACCTAAGGTACTTATTTACCCAAAAAAAAAAAAAGATAATTAAAGAAAAACATTGTTAGATGTTTTATTTACTGCTTCATATGTACCCTAACGAGACTTTTTTCTTACTGATAAATCATAAATCTTCCATTAATTAATGGAACTTTACACATAAGGCCATGGATATTTTTTTCCATCTTTTTATGGAAAGCAATTCCCTTCAATTACAATTATTTTTTTTTGAAAGAAATTACTACAACAACTACTATGCTTTAAGCCCAAAAGTTTAGGTCGGCTGTATAAATCTTTACTGTTCATGTTGCTCCAACTAAGCTCGTTTCAGTCCAACAGTATCGAATTTCAATAAGCTGCTCAAATTGACTTTGTGCAACTTTACAAATCCAAACCAAAGGGTGCTCTATTTTTTGAAAACTATTAGCTATGTATCATAACATATATCTTCAATCCATGCATCTGATCCCAAGGAAGTACATATCCTATAAAAGCTGTCACAATCATTAATAGGAAGATTATAACTCCGAGACACCGAACAAATTCCCTAGGAAGTAGTAGTAGTAGTAGAAGATCAAAGGGAAAGTCTGAGCTCCAAATCTAACTCTTGACAGCCATTTGATTCAGAATTCTGACTACTCGAACCAATAGAGTCACTTCTGTCTTTCTTCCTCCTCCTTTCCATTGAATCCTATTAAATTACCAACCCAAAAATTTGTAATTAATTTATTATTTTATTAACATAAGCTAATTGCAAATTATGCTATATAGTAAAATGGAATTAATAATGTAGCAAAATACCTCTACTTGCACATTATGGAGATGTCTAGTCATATTAGGGTGAGCATAATGTTGAGGTTCATATACTGTGCCAGGATGCCAAGTACTGAATTTAATCACAAAAGGAAGAATAATCAGAGCCAAGTACATTGAACAACAACAACAACATACTCCGTGTAATCCCACAAATGGGATCTGGAGAGAATAGAAAGTATACAACTTTACCTTTACCTTGTGCAGACAGAAAGGTTATTTTCGGTAGCCAAGTACAATGACAAAATTATAGTAATTCGATGAAAGTAAATGGGGAGAATAGTTAAAAGAGTTTTACTTATATATATATACACGTACAAACGGACAACGATGAGTAAAAACCTTTACACTATCATGTCACATAGAACATGAACTAGTAATTTAGAAAATAAGGCAGATCAGCTGCCACACCAAAAGGGCAGTTCGGTGCACAAAATATTCCGTTTTCATGCAGGTCCAGAGAATGTTAAGGAAATTGATAGTGCAAAAATTCTTTATACCGTTAGTGTAGTTAGTGTATGTAATTTAAATCCTAACGAGTTTAAAATTCTCAATTTAATCGATTCTAATGAAAGGAGGAAGTACCTTGCTATAGAAGTAGGCTGAGAATCTCCATATCTAATATTTGCTCCTTCAATGCCACTCAACCCCATCTGAAATTGTAGAAATTGTTACAGCAGATAGAACTCGAGTGGGAAAAAATGAAAAGCCAATCACAAGAAAACAAATACTATCAAAATACCCCAAGAAATTAAGAAGGAAATTGAAAAATGAAAGTTAAAGTGCACAAATGTTCTCTAGATTTCAGATTCATATCCAGTCATGTAAAAATGAATACACATACTAGAATTCTCTTTCAAAAGTTACTGTTAAAGAACTTATATATTCCTATAGGTCACGGGTTAGAGACGTGGAAGCAGTCACTAATGTTTGCATTAGGGTAAGCTATCTACATCACATCTCTTTTGGGATGCGGCCCTTCCCCAAAACCTGCGTGAACACAGAATACCTTGTGCACGGGCTGCCTTTTTCCACTATGGACAAATTTGCAAGAAGCAAGACCTCCTCAGGTTCAAAGGGCTTCCAAAGGAAAAAAGAAACAAAATAGGAGAAACTCATTCTTAATCTCTCTTCTGGGAAAGGGAAAGTTGACAAAGCTCACTTCAGACTATCACATTAAGAATTAAAATGGATTTTCTCAGTTACACAAAGAAATCAGGACTATTTCTCTTTAATAGAACAAAAATAATGGAAGAAAAAAAGGGTAAAAAAAGAACAAGAAACCATCTCTACACATCTCCACAAGCAGTACAGGCAACTCCAAGTTTGAAGATCATACATATTTATGTTTTGGGACACCTTCCCATATTAATGGAATAGTAATAACAAGGAAAACTTTAAGATTTCAAGAAAAATAGTTCATATCCAATACTATATCTTATAACTACATACCATAATGCCTTGGTGCCCAGGAAAACCATAAGAAGGTGATGAAGAAGACGAGTATGAAAATGATGGAGATGATGAATATGTTGTTTGTAGTCTCATTTCCTCCTGCATATATTACAAATTCAAAAAAAAAAAAAAAAACTTTATCAAAACCCTGAAAATTCCGATGGTCAAGAATAAGAGAGTTGATTCTGAAATGTTTAAATATAACTCCATATATATGTTACAATAACAACAACAATAAATTCAGTATAATCCCACAAGTGCGGTTTGGGGAGGATAGCGTAAACGCAGACCTTACCCTTACCTTACGAAAATAGAGACTGTTTCAATACACCATCGGCTTAAAGAAAATCATAGTCACAACAGTGTTGAAACTCCATATATATGTTATTTTTAATATAAAGTATGAATCCTAAAAGACCGGATTCTATCGTACTCGTGAATTCATGGTTAGATCTGCCACTGAAAAGTCATAGAATTAGAAATGATAAGATACAAACCTGTGTGAGATTGGTGGTATAAGGGTTATTGTGAAGAGAAGAAGGAAGATTGTAATTAGAACAACCCATTTCACTATGTAATCTAATTTTCTCTAATTGAGCAACACCAAGTCCTCTTTGTGGTTGCTTATTTTGCTTCTCTGAATTATTTTTCTTGCTTTTTCTTGATGATCCTGATGAAGATGATGATCTTTCATTTCCCAAATAATTTGGTTCACCAAAATAATTACTGCCCATTTCTCTTTTTCTCAACAAAAAGAAGAAAACAAAAATACTTGAGAAGAAGAAGAAGTAAGAATTAAAAACCAAGAAAGAATCAAGAATTGAGATGATTTTGCTCAAAAATTTTGTAGCATTATAAGGCTAAAATCAGTAGGTTAAAGAGAAAGAGAGATCTTCAAAAATTAAAGGGGTTGGTTTTTTTAAGCTGTCAATAATTGCATAGCTGGATCAGATTGCATTTAGATTTATGGAGATTGATTTGATTTATCCTTATATTAATTGGATTTTATGCCCTTACTTTTTGCTTGCTTGCTAGCTCATTTTTTGTGAACTTCTATAAAAATTGCGTCTATTATTTATTTGTCTTAGTCATGGACTTGGAAGAAGACTTGATAGTGATTGTCCCTCTGATTTCATAAACTCATTAAATTATGCAATTATTCCAAATCGTATCTTCCCTACGCGCTTCACTCCCACGTTGTCTCTCCCCCACCCCTCGTAAATATTTACTCGTATCGAGTATTTATACCAATTCAATAAATTCACGATACATGTCTTCACAAATATGTTACCACTAAATTATAGTTAATTAATTCACATTCTCACCTTAATTTATCATAACTATGATAAATTAGTATGATTTGGTGTAAACACCCGGTGTCAGAGGCGGACCTAGGATTTGAGCACGACGGGGGCACCATTATATGCTAATTACTAGTGATAAAATTTGGCGGCAACTCTTTGAAAATTCAATGACTATGATGATTTATCATCCAAGTATAAATAAAAAAAAATTCTAAAGAAATAGAAAGCATCAAACAATGAGAGAGATTTCTTCGCAAAATAGGTATTTGATTTAGACTATTTCAAACTTTAACTTTTCTGCCTTTTCTCCATTAAAAAGGGGGTCTATGATCAAAACGGTGTTCAAACTTCAAAAATTATGAAAAAACTTACTAAACAAATCAAGATTAAGGGTGTGCTAATAGTTAAAGAACTAAAGAAAAGTCTCAAACTCTTAATTAGTTGTCATTGACCAGTCAGAGTTAACGGATATCCGCTACTTTATCAAAGTGATTGTTAAAGAAAGTTGTGGCAGAAAGATTTGTATTTTTCTACTTCAGAAGCGCGATAAATTACAATTTGAGGCTTTTAATTATAAGGGAGGGATTTGAAAACGAATAAAATTATGTAATTTGACTATTATGTATTAAAACTAAACTATAATTGAATTCAAAAAAAGATAAAAGTAAAAAGTGCAGCAGTTTGCTATTAAGTACAAATTAGTTGAATCCAAAGAAGTAAAATAAAAGGAGAGGAGAAACAATGAAAATAGGTTTTGAACCCGCGAGATCCAGCAAAAGCGAAAACTTAAGCGCCCCATAATACCACTCATCTAGTTCGCCTATTTGTGGGTGGGGCACACATAAAAATATTTAAGGAGTCCCAGCTGTGTGAAGATATATATATATAAGAGTTTTTGCCGAGGTTAACGGGGTCCCGTGTCCCCTCAACCCGAAACGTAGGTCCGCCTCTGCGCTGGTGTAAGTAAGTTTTAATCCTCTCCCTCTCCCTTCTTTTGGTAAAAATTTACACGTACCAGGTGTTTATACCGAAGCAATAAATTGATGACACATGTCTTCACAAACAACTGAGAGGTGATTAATAAAATTTGCCTATTTCACCCCAAAAAATTGTCTTCACAAACATGGTCATTATTAAATTATAGTTAATTAGCACACATTCTCATATTAGTATATCACTTAACTATGGTAAATTAGTATAGTTTGTTATAAATACCTTATGTGAATAAGTTTTTACCCCCTTCTTTCCTTTTACCATTTGTAAATTCTTTTCATTTTTTTTTACGTTATCTTTGTTTTTCTTTTCTTTTTCTTAAAAGAAATATTACTCTATTTATTGAATATATATCCACTAATGACGAATTAAACAAGGAATTTTAACAAGAAGATTAAAAAAGAAGAAATAAAAATGCTCACTTAGGATAGAATCGATCTAAAGTAATTTTTGAGCCACCTTTCTGTTAAACTAAGTTTCCCTTAACATGTCAAGAGATCGAACACAATGATTCATATATAGACAAAGGACATTCAATTGAATCCCTTTCATGTAGTGTAGCTCTGCCCTGATTCTACATTATTAGATTATTTAGTTAATTAACAAGTTTCCTTTCACATCCAACCTAATCTTCTAGGTGACGATATATTCTCCTAATTAATAAACTTCAAATTTGCATAAAAAGATTCCAAGTAGCGTGCTTAATACCCTAATAATTCAATTATAATATTTTCATAATTATGTGTTCTTGATAAAACTTGAGAGGAAATCTAGAGGAATTTAATTAGTTGGTGGATCATTTAGGTAAGATACAATCAAGTTATAATGTTATTTAGTTTGTCAAATGATCATGTCTGATTCAGTGATTCTCATTACTCAAATTTCCTTCCATCTATGTGGATTTTCGGTTCTGTTTTCAATGCAGTTGTCTACCAGATCTACAGCTTAAATATTTATTGGCAACTTTAATAGAATGGAGTAATTAATGAACATTATCAAAAGTTCCAGAAATCCTTATTAATTAGCTGATTTTCATAGAGATTTTCTTCATATATACAAATTAAAGTGATCAGGGGTGTATGCATGAATTTTATAAGCAGTGTCGAAATTTATAAAAAAATAAAAATAAATATCTTTATTAACTTTATAGACAAGAAATAGTCTCTGTCCATTCATTTTGTGATTCTTAATTTAAAAAAGTTCTTGAGTTCAATTCTACGTAATCACAATTTTTAACCACATAGCACATAACCAACGCGTTAGGAGACAATCTCTGTCAAATGGTGTTATTTTTTTCTGCTTATTGGTTTCCTTATTGTATTAATACATATATTTAGTAAAAATAAATTGACGAAGCGGTTTCGTGTGACAGCGCTTCATAGAACATGCGTCCGCCCCCGAAAGTAATTATACATATAATTTTCTATAGTTAAGTCTAAAGTGATTAAGTAAGTTTATATTCACGACATACACACATATCGAGTGCGAATAAATTTTTTTATTTAGAGAAAGAGTAGAGGTGATGGCACTGAAAACATGCATTAATTGGTTAATTATGATTAAGTAATAAAATTCTATATGCAAATACATCTCATGCTTTTATTAGTTTGATGTAAATATAAGTAATACATATGTTGTATATATATGTGCGTAAATATTATCGAGTGTGCTTAAATATTAAGTGCAAATAAATTTTTTGTAGGGAGAAGAAAGGATAGGGTGATGGCATGCAAACCATATCAAATCGAGCTGTTACACGCTATCAATTGTGGGTCATATATTATGAGTTGTTTTGAGGTGGAAAGAGAGAATCATCTCATTTGTTAAACAGACATGTGAACTCAAGCAATTACTAGAAAACAAACCATCAATTCCTTTAAAAGGATTTCATTCTGTTCATTTTCTTATTTAATTTTATATTTAGATGGTTTTCTCTTTCCAAACGATGTCATTTTTTAGGTTAATATGCATTAGTACTTAATAATATTACCCCAGAGAAAAAATAATAGGAAAAAAAAAACTAAGTCGAATTATTCCTCAGTTTCTTGATATTCGTATTCAACATTTCGACTATTTTGAACTTGTATTTTCCTATTATACTCTAAATTATTTTCTTGAGTTTGAATAATCAACATTAAATAATTAATATGTCTATATGTGCATACGCTGAAGTCAATTTGGGCATAATATTAAGTTTTCTTTTTCAAGTTTTACTAGTCAAACTTGGATCCTAACTAATAATATAAACATACAGGTCTTCTATAACTCATTTTCAAATGCGTATGGTTCTTGCCTCCACGCATAGTAATTTTAACATCAGCTATTAAAAATTCATTTTGTATTATTAAATGATAATTAATTAATCCACCTATGTTTTTTTATTTTTTTTTTGTTTTATATTTTGCGTCCAAGAAGAAGCCACGCCCTAACACCAAGAAAGATACTATTACTATATAGTTCAAAGATTATGACTGACTACTGGAAGCATAAATTCCCTAAAACCAAGAAAAACATTGTTTACTAAATTATTAAAATGATCTTATTTTCCTTGGATTGACTTAGAGGACATGGATTGCCTTGGGTTAGTTAAATGCCAAATTATAATGTACATCTTAATTAATATAAAAAATCACCAAACATGTGACGCTTATATCGAGAGAATGGACAAGGGTTGCTCAAGTAATAAACACTTCCGTCTCTTTAAAGCTGCAGGTTCAAGTTATGAAAGACGAAAAGTGGAAAACTCCTGGGAAAAAGTTTTAAAACACTCTAGAGAATTGATATTTAAACATTGGAAATACAAACATATACTGCATATTCACACATATTATCATTGCAAGTACCTTAGAATTAGGCTGGCTCACAATAATATAATGTATATATTTAGGGAAGAAAACTAAATTGTTGATGGAATGGCTAAAAGTAGTTTATCCAAGATAACAGAGTTATTCGATATCTGTATTGATAAAAGGTTACGGGTACCCAATAAATTTAATTGAAATGTAATAAAATTGACCCAAAAACCAGGGAACAAGAAGATTTTTTGCATTGAAACCCCTCCCCCTTCTGTTTTTGGAAAAATATGTATTAGACCTTAAAGGGACAAAAATCAGTAAGAATGTCCCTAATTGTATTTTGATGTGTGTATATATATAAACAAAAGTTCAATTCTACTAGTCAAACAGTTTCTTATAGTAATTGTTTTTGTTCGAAGAAAAGATATTCCAAAAACAATTTTGTTTTTAAAAAGCAAATTTAAGTATCATCAGCATAATGTTGACAAACTTGACTAATTTCACCATAATTTGTTGAAAGCTAGATAACATCACAAATAAGAATGGTGTTTAATTAGGCCAAATAAAGGAAGGAGAATAATGTTTTTTGCGTTTTTACTTCTAGAAGTTTGCTTCTATATACATAAAGGAAACATAAAAAAGAATATAGCTAGGTGATTTCCCTCTTCAGGTTGCTTCAATAAAGGTGCCCTTTTCCTTTTTCTCCAAAATCACAATAGAATATTTTGTTAAAGCTTATAAAAAGTGGATTAGCTTAGACATGTAGAGCCCAAAGTTTGTCTCCCTAAAGCATAATTAATAGCATTAGAGAATCACCTTTCTTTCATTCATAATCAAGATTAAAAAATGAGTTTAACTAATATTTAATTCGTCATGTCACTTTTACATATGTAGTAGGTAATTTGCCTTATTTCAAGATCGCAAATCCTATCTTTTATGGAGGTCTGAT